GAACATTTTTTGTATTTATTAAATTTTTTTATTATTAAATTTAAGTATTTCAAAATTTTTAATGGTTTTGCAGATATTCGCGGTTTTATATTTCATATGGCATTTTTCAACAGTACATTTTTATCAAAGCCACCCAATTATTTTTCTCTGGTATTTTACCGTTAAAAGAGCAATAATATGAAATAAAACCGCGAATATTTACGAAACCGCTAAAATTTTTGAAATACTTTAAATACATTTTTTTTTAATTATCTACCTAACAATGGAATATACAGGGTGTTCCATTTAAAAAAAAACGAAGGAAAACTATTTTATATTTTAGAAAATTTCGCATATAGCTTTGAACACCCTATATGGTTGAAGATTACGATATCTATTGGAAAGTGAGTACAAACTAACTAGAGTAAATACCTAGTATAGTTTTGATTTCGAGATATTTCTTGTACTTTTAATATTTTTTTTAAAAGGATGTACAACATATATTTTTTTTAAATTTATTTATTCATATCTCTAAAACTATTAAAACACATTTCATAATATCTTACGATTATGTAAAGTGATCAGAAAGAAAGCCAATTTAAATAATACACAGGGTGTTACTATTGAAAAGATCATCCCGATCCGCTCACACCTTTTTGAGCCACCCTGTACAAGTTAAAATATTTTCCTGAAATGCATCCTAATTTATACTTTAGGTTTGCACTTAAACAAAATTACTGTATTAGTGAAATAGGTCAGAATTTATACTAATTACGCATTACCAGATAAGATTGTCGACACTTAACCAACTAAAATTTATTCAAAAATTTTATTATACAGGGCGTAAAATGTCATATAATTAATATGCAAATAGAACGCTCCCGATATTAGAGCCTACATAGATTATGCTTGTTTATTTACTAACTGGTTTAAACTACCATTATTTACAGCTGTCTGGCTGTATCATTCTATATAACCATGATGTAATACCATAGTTTGTCTAAAATGCATTAACAGAAATGGAATACTAAATAAAATTAAAAAATTCACAGTCCTTTACAAAGATGCAACCGGAGGGCATTGAAAATGATGAATAAAAACGTAAAAATATGATTAGTGTTAATATGAGTGTATTACATACATATGTTTAAATAAGGAACTTAACAAAAAACAACAGATTTAAAGATTCACTGAAAAAGTAGTAGTGTGAACATTAAATAAAACATTATCAATAATAATTATGCGATCGCAAAATAATTGCATATGACTATTGTAATTTTTGTGAGGTTTCGTTTCTACAAAAATTATATAAAAAAGTAGTTTTCACGAATGTATAAACCTAAAAAAGTTTATCGATTTGTGGTACTTTAAAATTGAAATTATATTTGAATGTTCTCAAATAGATATCTGTTAAATGTTTTCAACCAATAATCGCATCTATACGAAACCTTTTACAAAAGCTATTGTAGATATTGTTTCTTAAAAGTAATAAATCCCTATTTAAAAAACTTAACGGATTTCTATCTTTTTTGTCCTTCTCATAGCCTAATTATATTTTGATACCTATCCCACATAGTAATGTCAGCAATCAAACAAATATTTAAAAACTCTTTCCTGAATTCATATTTCTTGAGCACCTATTTATGTTTCTTAAAAAGCTCTAAAAATCACTCTGCCGATAGAGAAAAAAGACTAATATAAAATTGTTTGAGGGGTATCGTTTTAACCAAATAAAGTTTTGCCTGCTTTTGTACGTCTGGCTTCTCTTTTTAAAATTCCAAAAGTGTTGTGCCACACCAAGAAGTTTTGCGAAATGATAAAATAAATGGTTTATGTAAATTGGTTCTAAATATAAGAAATGCGGAATAAATAAAAGATAGCCTGCGGAATGATTGATGTTATTTTTGTACGCTTTCGGTGGGAGAGTTACCTGAAAGAGGGCAAGAAGATTTTGGTAAGGCCTCTTAAGAATAAATTTACTAAAGCTACTTATGTGTCGGTGTTATCGGCACTGCACATATTTATATGACAAAATACTTCTATCTTCTATATTCTCTGGTTTTAAGAGAGTATTTTTGATATAAATCGTCTTTTATATACTAGGACTGGCTGTGGCGGATACAGGAATTTATTTTAGGGGGGGGGGCAAATAAAAAGTAATGTTGAATATGCTTTTTAGCGCGCCATTTTTAACAAAAAAGCTTAATATTTAACCCAATGTAGAGATTATAGGGGGGGCTTGGCACCATGGTCCCCCCTCAGTATCCGCCACTGGTCTGGGCAGGATACACTAAACTAATTTTCTAAAAGTATAAGGAAAACAAATTTTTTTAGCTCTATTTAAATGTCTAATATATTAAATTTAATATCAAAAGAAGCGTTAATATTACAATTTTTACTTCTATTTCGTCGTTATTTCAGTATTTTTCACTAAAATTTTTATACGAAAATATAATGATTATAACATTTTAGTGAATATTTGATGAGTATAGTACAATATGTGCTTTGTGTTATGAAAATATTGTTAGAGACTTTTTCAAAGAAACTTTTGTAAAAAATAATTTAGTGTGATATACGTTATTGTAAATCGTAATGCCATGTAATAATGGATTATAATAGACTATGTATACTATTGGTTTGTTTACGTATTTGCTACTTTGACAAAAAAGCTGAAATCATTAGTTAAAAATAAATACACATACAACACCTGTAGTAAATATTATTTGCATATTATTTCATATATTTAGTTTTATTATTGTACACGTAATAATTACACATAAAAACAATTTAGATATAAAACTAATTGTAAATAAATAAATAAATAAATAAAAGCCTATATTGTCAAAAAAATTTACAATTTGTAGACAAAGGTAAACTAAACAAACGAAGTAAACAAACAAGGTACACTAACAAACAAACAAAAGATAATACAAAACTTTATACAAATAATATTGTCAGTCTTATTGTTTAAAATAAACATTTATAAATGTTTACAATGTCAAAGAATAAAAAAATAAAAATAATATTCAAAAATATTTAGTTAGTTTATAGTAAATATCAACCGATATAATTGTACCGAACACTCACTGACAAAGATAGCCAATTTTTAAGAGTAAATATATGTTGGAATTGGTAGAATAAAAAACAGTGTGTGCACTATGTGCACACATTTGACGTGAAACTTCTTTAAATTGAGAAACAGCTATTAAATTGAAAGAATTGAAGGGCATGCTTAAGTGACATATAATGCTGTTTTAATATAAATATTATTTTCTAATTTTCTAAGTATATCTGTAATCTATGCATTTTCTGTTTCCTCAATAGCCTGCAAATTTTGTCAGATACCACCCAAAATACACACTTTTATGCAAATGCCTAATAATGTTAACGCTTAAATTTATTTAAGAAGAGAAAAAATGTTCAACCTAACCAACAATTCGTATTTATATTGGTTTACATTAATTTTGTTAGATTGTAGGAATATTCTCGTTGATTATTGGTTTGAAATAAATATGCAATGTCCTCCAATGAAAATGCTAGTTGCTTAACTCTAATAATTCTAATTCTGAGCTAGCAAATGAGCTAGATGCTTTACCTAGACCGTTCTTAAGAAGCTACAAACGTATCGATGAAAATATGCATGAAAATTTACTTTTTATCACCTAACACAGTATCAAGTTTATTATAATGATTTTCTTAGCTATCAATTCAATTTTTTGGGGAGTTTGCGCAATGCCTACCAACTTTTTAGACTTTTAGTAGATTTTACACTTTTGCCATATAACAACAGCCCGACAGAGTTTTCGGTCACCCGTCCATCTACTCGCATTGTCTAACGTCGCTTAATGTCGTTGATCTATCGGCAGACGGTGTTATCACGTAACTAGGAGTTGCTCAGGAAGAAAGTTTGATCAAGAAGAACATTACGTAAATAAGTTTCTCAATTAAACCTAATATAATTTTTACAACTTTATATAGCATAATATTGTTACCATATGGTATATAATTTATAGCTTGACAATTTTTTTAATTTTTATATGGTTAAAAACGACACAAAAATTAACATTAATCCAAAAATAAAACATAAAGCAAAATGCGAGTCAGGTACAACTGAATTATGAAAATTTAAATTGAATAATTTGAATACGTGAAAGAAATAATTGTGCCTGAAAAGAATAAAATAAATTTAATTTAAATCTTTTCATAAAAAAAAGTTTCAAAAATGCTATTAAATAAGCAGAAGTTAAAAATCGCACAATACATTCATACAAATCATTTTATTAATAGTCTGTACTAATAATTGTTAATGTTGATTTTCATGATGCTGCCCTAAATCATTCGAAAGAACTTATATATTTTGAAGTAGGATTGTTCTAAGCTAATTTAATGGTATTAAACCATACCTTGATTTGAAACTAAAATAATTTCGGACTTCCATTGTCTTTATTTTGCTTACACATCGTTTCGATCAGAAGTATCACTGACCGTTATCAAGTGTAGACGTTATCAAGTAGTTCACACTTGATAACGATCAGTGATACTTCTGACCGAAACGTTGTGTAAGCAAAATAAATACCTAAAGACAATGGAAGTCCGAAATCATTTAGTTTCAATACTGAATCATTGTCTACCGCATTCAAAATATACCTTACTTTTTAGTACGCATATTTATAATGTTAGATATATAAAAAGCATTTGGCTATAAAATTTGGCAATAACAGCTTCCGAAAACACCTTCATAACGGAATTTACACTATAAAGCTATTTCCTCAACATCCCCATCGACTCAAAATAGTGACCGACAGAAATTTATCTTTATAATAACCTAACCTTTACAATCTGATAAGAGCGGGTCGGTTCACAGTTTTTCGTCCACAAGGTTCACGAAGTAAAATGTGGGTGGAGCCGCGCTACACGCCGGCGACCCGGAAACGACCGAATCGTGACGATCGGCCCCGATTTCCTTCTGCCCTCAGAGCCTGCTTGATGACATCTTCGCTTGGTCCGCTAGTCGCGCTGGATGCAGAGTATTGGTGAAGTTGGTTCGCGACGGTCGGTTTCAGATTTGTTCGCGTCTCGCGCTCCTGCTGAAAATCCGTAAATATCAACCGAAATTTCACGTATTCACTCGAAATTCGTCCGCAGTTTAGAACGTTTGTTTCAGAATCGACTTTAATCATCCGAAAATATAAACCCATTTCAGTGTTTTCGGACAGGACATTTTTTGGTTTAAGAACGTGCCTTTTTGTTGAAAGTTTTTGTATACCTACCCATACATTGTGTTTTGTGCATCTACCTGCTCTTCTACATAACTGACATTTTTGCGAGTACTAGGATTATATCAGCAGTTCTGTGGTGCAATCAATAGTTGTTTTTTGTGACAGTGATTTTCAAAATTATACGGATAAATCGCACTAGTGTATTATTGTATTTTAAATTGGATACCGTCATTTCTCACTAGCGGATGTTCAGAAGTAAGTACTTTTTGTTGTGTTTTGTTTTTATATTCCGATCTTTTCTGGCGTTTCTGCGGTAAGGACTGCGGTTAGCAGGTGGATTTCACACATTCTTCCTGCGGCTTGAAATTATTGTTTTACCTGCTAATTGTGTTGGACTTGATTAGTCCAGCTTTACAATTGGTTCCATTAGAATCCACAGCATAGAAGAATACTTTTAAATTTTTAATTAGGTATATTTTAAATTTTGGTTGTTTTCTATTCTGTACATATTTAAAGATAAAAAGTCCTTGTTTTTTAGAAGAAAATTATTATAAAAATATTATAATATTACAACCTCAGCCTGAATATCTGTTGGTAATTTACTTATTTCGTTTTGAGTCATTTCTGGCTCCAGTTCAATCAGCAATCGACACGAAAGAGAATTAAAAAATTATTGACTCAAAACTGACAACTAAAGAGACAGCTTTATTTATTTGTTAAATTACATAGAAACCAACGCCAACCCAGTACAATATTTTTTCTACTCGTAATAAATTCCTTGAAATAATAATTTCTGAATATTTTTTAAAACGTAACTCGCTATGGAAAAAAAATATTGTTTTATACACCACGATAAAATTGCAATATTGTCTCCCGAAATTAACTCTTTTCGGTCGACGATAAAATACCATTTATTTATTTTTTATCGTCTTGTATAAAAAATAACTATTAATTTGTGGCTTAAATCATCAAAACATATTTTCTCTTCAAAATTATTTTTAAAATTAGATTTCCTGGGATAAAGTCGATCTTTCATTTTACTGAAAATATTCGAATGATGGTGAAGTGACTGGATTAGGAGATTGATTTTAAACCCTTTTCCATGTTTTAATGAAGATATTTGTGTAATTTAATTTTTCGACCGATTTTAACCCAAAGAGTTGAAGTGATATAGAATATGAAGTTTGAAAATGATGCAGAAGAGGTGAAATGAGAATCTTTAAATATCGCTCGGTTAATATCCTTTATTGTCATCTTCGCTTGATAAGCTCCGTAAATTGAAGTCTCAAAGCCTTTAATGAAGTTTTAAGCAAAATTGAATATTAATCCGTTATAGTCGATACAGTTATTCGTTTAAGCCGTTGATTAGCCATTGGGTATAACGGTCATTGTAAATAAAACGCAAAAAAAGTTAGCTAAATGAATTGAATTGTATGTTTTTTATTGTAAAGATAAATAACGATTGTTGGATGTGATACATTTTTATTGTAATGAAGAATCCGAGGAAGAATCTTGCAATTATAAGTGCTTTGGAAAAACTTATTCTTACCTGAGTTCTTACCAAAACCTCACTCATACATGAGTAGCAATTGCAACAAGAAACATATTTTATCGGTTATCATAATAGGTATTATCTTGACAAGACTCTTTCAACTAATAAAAGTGCCTGAAAATCTAAATTCACCGGAAAAATAATTTTAATGTGCAGTACATACATAAATATGACAAACAGATGAAATATTGCAATCAGCTCAAAAAAAACCCAGAGATAATAAAAGGTCAAAAAGTTTAATGATCCGCTAATCGCTAAATAAGTAATTACTTTTTTATTGCTTTTATTATTAACTTTAGTGAATAACCTAAAAATTAAATTTCATATCAAATACATTGTAGCTTAGAAATAATATAAAATGTGACAGTGAAATGCAAATTTAACTATACTTAGGTATACTAATATGTGAACTATTCATTTTTTATATATAGTTAAAGATGTGATAATATTTATTTCCTGACACTTTGATTTGCTTTGATACTTTAGTTTTGTATTACGAGTTTTTGGTTTAAGTGAATTGTGCTGTGATATTTTAAGTTTAAACATTAGGAGACCTTACAGTGGAAAATTGTTCTTTTTAGAATCGCTTGTAGTGTACAAGATGCTGAAGCAGCTTAACAGCCATTGCGAGGGCCATTGCAAAAAGCTCTTCGCAACCTTATTAGAATATTTTGAGCGGGAAAGCGATAATAATGACTCTTTGTTAAGGATGTGCCGTTTGTTGACGTAAACAATAACTGTTTATATATTTATAATTAATTCATTTTTGTTACCTAAAATATTTTGTAATATTTGATCTCTGTACCCTCTTTTCTCTCACGTATTGAAAAAGTCCTCTTTTTTACGTACCAAACTCAAAATCTTTTCGTCGAAAAAAAAAGATTCGTCTACCGCCACAATGCCTTAAAAAATTGTCCATCTTTGTCTTTCGCTACGCCCACTCATTTGTGAAGAGAAAATAAAACGAAGACATATTTATATTTATGTACAAGAAATATTTGTGGAAGCGATAAACATGTTTAACTATTTTATACTTATTTACTGTTAACTTATGTTTTAGAACAAAAAATTTTGTTGAAAATGGTTTGCTTTATTTTAACAAGTTTTGAGTATAAATATTTTTAAGAAAGTAAGAAAGACCATTAATCGCATACCGTTGACAAAACTTTTTGGTAAATTCTAGTCATTACGTTTCAAAAATGTTTCACATTCTTTTTTACCTTCTCGTCCTCTATTTTTTATTTTGAAAGTTGGCAACCCTAGAGTAAGAAGAGACATTTATGTTTAACATTAAAAGAACTTTCCTTTAAACTGTGGATGCGCTCTCCAGCTGCATTAGAATTTTGTTTTCGTTTTAGTTTTACAAGGTCCATAAAAACGAATAAACAAACATATCGGATAGACTACTAATGGGCCGGAGCGGCCTGTGGCGGTGGCTGCTGGAGGCCCTCTTTCTCAAAGGCCGTTTTCCCAGAATTGTGCGACGTCTGCCGAACCCAAAACAAATTCGAACCGCCTTTGCCGTCGGCTTCTGGCCTGCGCGCGCGTCGCTCTCTCCCAAACGGGTTCTTCGCCGGTTCTTACACGGAGAGAACAGCACTGTGAATTTGTGAATTTTGTGAAAATTTTCTCTTATCTTGTGACTAAATTAGGGTTGCAACTTTAAAATAAAAAACCGAGTGCTGACGGGTTCCATATATCGCCGGCTTTATAACGAAAAGGCGTATCTCGATTTTTACAACTTTTGGGGAGGGCAATTAAAAAATTCTAAATATTTATTAATTCTAGTATTTAGCATATATATATAAATAAATAAAATAAATAAGCGCCTTTATTGTCAAAAAATGTTACAATTTATAGACAAAGGTAAAGTAAACAAACAAAAGAGATTACAAAACAAGTATACAAATTACATTGTCTTATTGTTTAAAATAAACATTTATAAATGTTTACAATGTCAAAGAATAACAAAATTAAAACAAGATTCAAAAATATTTACTCTGTTCATAGTAAATATAGTAATAGCAAATATTAGACCAGTGTTTACCAGATCAAATTCGATTATTGAAATATAAGTCATTTACCGCGTAGAAAGCCTTGTCTAGTAAATAAGATTTCAATGCTTTGCGAAATGAAGAAAATGAAGTTATGGATTTGATTTCAAATGGCAGGTGATTGTGAATTTTTTTAGTGTTTGATTTTGAACTTTTAACTAACTCTGAGCGTGGGGTAGGTAGATAAAGATCTTGCTCCGCGTTCCTGAGTGGATAAGTGTGAGATGGTCTTTCTTGAGAAGCTGATACATGCTTACGTATTAGGCAAACGGATTCAAATATAAATAAGGAAGGAAGATTTAATATTTTTATTTTTTTTTAAAAAGTCCTGGTAATGAGTTCTGCTGTTTAGTCTCAGTGAATATCGAACAGCTCTCTTCTGGAGCCTGAAAATGTGGTCAAATTGAGTCGCACAACACGTACCCCAGAATGGAAGGGCATATCTGAGGTGCGACTCAAAAAGTACATAATAAACAGTTCTATATAGCCACTGACAAGCTAAGCTCCTTAAAAACAGACCTTAATGCAAAACAGGCAGAGCTTAATTTTTTCGATAAAGCGTCGATATGTATGTCGCATTTCAGAGAATTTTCTACAACAAGTCCTAAGAATTTTACAGATTTTACGACGTCAATGGTGGTGGTGTTAAGTACAAAAGGCTGATTAAATGTTGTTGAAAAAATGTTGATTTTCTTTAGGTATTTCTTAGCGTGTAGGTCAGGTTCCTACCGATTCTGAAGATACGGTTCCGTGCGACAATTTCGTTATCTGACCGAACCTTCGTTAAATCTGGCCCGGGTTCAGGCACGCTGATCCTACCAGAGATTTCTGACTTTTATGCGATTTTATCGCCTTTAAATTTCTGCTCGCAGTTTAATACGTCGACGGGGCTGTAGCTTTTCACGTTTAATGATGGAATGTTTTTATAAATACGAATTTATTCTTTGTTTTGTATTACTGACGTTTGGTTTATAATATTAGCAGTTGTTATTTTATGTTTATTTCTTCTAAATTTCTATTTTCTGTTTTATCAACTTGAAGTAATTTCATCAGTCATTTTTTATTAATACATAATTAATTTGTAATTTAATCTTTAGAGTATGTTTCTCAGGTTTTTTTACATGAACATAAATTTGTCTAACCTAAAAAACACTTTTTGAGAAATTTCCCCACTGAAACAAATCTATAAAATAAAAGCTTACTTTGTTACTGTGTTTGTACCTCGGTTTTACTTGTAAAGCAAATTTTAAGGAAAAGAATCAACAATAATGCATAGAAAAATAATAACACATATACAGGCTTATGATTATAAAAAATATATATACAAATATGAGAAATTCTGGTGGTTTATTTTTTTCTGATGGTATAGACCTCGATATAAAACCGAACTAAAAATATTTAGAGGAATAAAAAAATCAAATAAATTAAAGCTAATAATCTATTTCAAACAACCTACTCAACAACGTAGAAATAACGAAAACCAAAAAGAAACACTAAAAATTAAAATAATTAGTAAAAAATAACATTTAAAAATTATAATAAAAAACAGAGATATAGAAAAAGAAATGACCTCGAAAATAACATTATAATGAATTTATACCTGTATATGTCTCTAGTCTGCTTGTAATAACGTAGAATCTAGATGGACA